CTCTTTAATGCTGGCAGTGTATATCAGCATATTTACATCTCACCATCTTTGATGATATCGAAATCCCTTTGCACTGTACACTACGTATCCTCTGGCATGTTAAGACGTGCAGGGATACTTGAAACATTTTCTATCTTTGAAACACAATGATGGCTATAATAAGTTGACCACAATCAAACCCTCAGTTTCGATTCCTGCCAGTGCTTCACATAATCCTAATTAAATCGCATTGGTTATGTTCACAATTCCAGATTAGAATTATGTATGAGCTTGTATGACCTTGAAATGAACAAGTCTTAAAGATGATACGAATAGCTCAAGGGATCTTCGATTAGACCCGTGATAATCCATGAAAGGTTTCAGCGATTGCATTTTATCACCACCAAACCAGGAGAACGTTTTAGGTACATAAATACTTGGGTGTTTTGTTTGGTCTATGATGTCACTTCTTGAATCCAATCAAGGTTAATTTTAGAGGATCACAGGTTTAGGTAAGAGTGGATTCAACAGATCTCGGATTCAAAGGGAATCGAACAAATTGATTGGTGAAATTCGATCAACGAAAGTTTGGGTACAGACTCATAATTTACCTCATCTTGACCCCTTTCAACTTGTTGATCAAACGGTTATCCAATCCTTTGAATCTGGCCCGCCATTTTTTTTGAGAACAACTCCTTTAAATCCATCTTGATGACTTATTAGAGACTTGAAATCCTTTTCATTGAACCTTTCGAAAGCTTTAAATTTATGATCGATCTTTTATCGAAGGCTTGAGAGTTCATTGTGATCGAGAATTAAGATCAAAAGGTTTTTGAATTTCTGGAATCGATCGTTTCAAGTTCGATCAAAGTTTGACAAAATCAAATTCACTGAATCCGTCGTCATCAAAATCAGAGTTCCAATGAGCAAAAGTTCAAAGTGAGTAAAATATCAATTTGATCTGTGCGTGTAAAATGATTGATTTCCAAGTCCGTAATGTTTTCATTGTTTGTTGAATCGTTGACTTTTACAAAAGTTGAAAATTTGCCATATACGGTCTGATGAAGATTAGGATTTGTAGATGTTAATGATGATATAAATTGTTTTTTAATTGATAAACAGGCACTGATCATCACTGTTTCTTTGATGATGGATGCTGATAAGATAATCAGAGAAGCTGAGATGGTCTTGTTATGATGGTTGTACTACTGTATCAAGTAAACAAACTTCAAAGAAAATACAAACTGAATACAGTTTTTTGACTGATCTGTTTACCTCTTTCTACAGATTCATCCGCTGACTTTTTTTAAATCCAGCTTCTTTCGCTTTCCAATCATCAACTTTTACAAATCACACTTTTTCGCTCATTTTTGAAGTTTTTTAACCCAATCTTGAACGATCTTTCAAAACAAACAACCACGAAGAAATTCAAAGAGAAATTGGTTAAGAAGTAAAACTACAAATTGAAGTGATCATTTTACATATCAACTTGATCAATCGTCTGGATTGGTTATCATAGAATTCATTACTCTCAGTGTAATTTTTTCACTCTCCGTTGTTGGGTAACCGTAAAGCTCGATTACTCAAACAACAGTCACTTCACACTAGATTCTTCATTCAAAGTGAACACACCCTTTGATCATTCCGCGGGTATATGTACTTGGGAGTCCTTTGACATTCGATCTCACACCAGTTAATAGTCCATTCGCCGCGTTTCTCACTTTTCTTTTAAAGTGTAGTCAGATTTCATTCAAAATCAGGTCACCAACGTCATCGCTCCTTGACATCCTCAAATCTATCCTGTTTTGTCTTTTTCTCATCGTTTTTTAAATCTTTGACCTTCAGCTTCACCATTTAAACCTGTCAGCTATTCTCCGTATCATTTAAACTCTCTCTCTCTCTCTGGCTTTCAGTCTATTTCAGCCTACTCCTGAAACTTTTTTCTAATCTTATTCGATAATTTTCTCTCATTGACGATTACTCAGTGTTGAAAACATGGCTACCACCACAACTCCCGCTGCTTCAATGCCCAAACGACAGGCTTTCAATAGAGAAACGAAGAGCTTGATTGATTCCTTGGGTGGTGGAGTGGAATCAATGACTCCCCGATCTTCCCGATCTGCTCGCAACTCTAATCCAGTTTCTCCACTTCCTTCACCGGGTCCATCTCGTTCAGCTTTTCGTGTTCCATCCCGTCGTCGTATCTCACGTCAGAACACCACCGACACAAGTTCATCCTCTTCATCTCAGCACCACATCCAACCCTCTATTCCGAACCTGACTAACAGTCCAGCAACAACGAGCCCTTTGGCGATCAATCAACCAGCTTTTGTATCAACTTCTGCACTTCCCAACCCTGACCCCGTTTCGCAGCCTCTTACTTCTCATTCTGGCACACCTATCAAACGCAAACGCACTCGCACTAAATCATCCGGCAATCATCGACCCGGGTCTGACAGCAGTCTCAGTGACTTGAGTGATGCGGACCATCTCAAACATCCTGCGAAAAAGGTTGCACATTCTCAACCCACATCAAATCTCAATGACCTCCCATTGGGCTCATCTTCCTCGAGCTCCAACCTCAACATAACAGTCACTGATGCTAGTTTGGAAAACACGAATTCAACCCTCCTCGCACCTCAAGCCAGCTCATCAACGTCTCTCGATCCACTCCACATTGCACAGTCTGGACTTCCTCTAGTTGATCAACCAGTACTGAAGGCTCAACGGCTGATCTTGAAACCTCCTATGCCCAAACCTGGTTCTGCAGAGATCAGAAACTCAAAATTACCCACTCTGCCTATTCCTAAGATTAACTTGCCCCCCAAGTCAGATTTTGGGTCCACCAAATCTAAGGGTAAGGCGAAAGCTTCGCAAGCTCCACCTACAAAGGGAGCCAAGGGGCGTTTAGCAAAACCGACATCGCTTCGTTGCTCTCGATCGGTCTCTCATACACCTCGCTCTAGGAGACTGACGGAGCAACAGAAACAAGAAATTGAGCAGAAACGCCTCAAGTGAGTCATCCAAGCTATCAAAGTACATCAATAAAGTTTTGCTTGTACTCAGACTCGATGTGTATCATAGGCTTTTGGCCAGCTTGGATGAGGAAGAGGAGATGATCCGGTCTTCGACTCATCCTTTGTTAGTCGAGCTACAGGCCAACATCGACCGAGGAAGGCATGTGAAGCTGCGCCAGGCTCACCTCAAACATGAAGCTTTGAAGACTTATCTTGGTCGGCAACAGCATGAGCAAGAGCAGAGGGTCTGGGCTACCTGGGCCGTAAGTCACAGTATCCCTTCTTCGAACCAAAAAGCCCAAGTCATATTTATCAACATGGTCTCTTTGCTCCACATAACCGATCTGTATCTCCAGGATGAGAAAGTCCGGTTGAGATCAGAGCTCTTGGTCAAATGTCAAATTCAATTGGCACGCGCGCCTTTCGAATTTGTAATGTCTAACGAAACCTCAAGTAAGTGCTCTATGCATCGGATGGCTTAGTAAGCTTGAGCTAACGATTATATCGCTGTCTGACCTCTTCAGATCTTCAAGCTATGTTCCATCTTTCACCGCCTCCGAAGCTTACTCCGTTCGTTCCTAACGCTGCGTGCACTATCAGCGCCGACTCCTTGGTCCCTGGTCTGGAGCGCCAGAGAATCAAAAACCATGCGATGTGGTACCTACCAAACACGGCAATCGAAGCGGACCTTGCGCTCCTTCGTGGACCTGCAAAAAGTCATCCTATCTACACAGCTGGCGATCAGATGACTCGAGCATCGACGCAGACCAAGCCTACGACCAGCTCAAATAGCACTGTCATTGCCACTACTCAAGACGTCAAACGAAGTCCAAAAAAGTGGAAGAGCGAGCACAAGGTGCCTTCAGACGCTCATACTCAGCCAATGCATTCGCTTCCAGCGGATGATCTCAAGATTCTCAGACAAAGGCCAGGCGTGAATCCTACCCGCAATGAATCATCTCCTGTAGCTTTTTCTCCTATCCCTTCCACATCTCAAGTATTCGCTACATCGAAAGTAGCACATACAAGTGAAGTAGACAAAGGCTCGATGGCTCGAGCTTGCAGTGATGCCAAATTCAACACTCGCCACGACTCTCGCAACGACGAACGACCGTTGAGCAAGGATCCAAGGCGTCGCAGTAGCCGTCAACCCATCCAGAATTTCGACAACAGTTCGGAGCCAGCCTCCGTGTCACACAAGGAAAGACCCAATAAGGCGACAGGTATCTCAGCTGATCGTGCTGCCACTACCCCATCAGGCGTTGACAGACGTGGTGCAGTACCCTCATGGGCATCCACAAAATCCACCCAGCCCTCCGCCACTATCTTATGCCCTAATCACGGTAGTTTTCCTGAACGAGATCATGCTGTTGATCCGTTTCAATATATAGCTCCTCCTACTGCACCTCGCCCCCCACATCCACCCACTCACAATCACGTCTCATCGGAGTCTTCATATGAACCTTACCAGGCGGCCAACAAGTCAGGAAATCATACTGCATCACCCAGTCTTGCAAACAATCGTGACTACTGGCAAGCGACAAAGCACCGTCGATCCGTAGGCTCAGAGCCAATGAATCTAGCTCGAGAACCCCGCGGTCCTCTTCATTCGACCAGTCGTGATTTGCCTAATGTGGGTACAGAACAAGCAGGAGAACGATTCAGGGGCTTTTATCCGAGTTTTGAGCAGTATGAATCCCAGCATCGATCAGATCATTCTTCACCTCGTGTATCCAATTTGACTGGTTCAGACAGCGTCGGCATCCACTTGACACGACCCACTTCGGCTCCCCATCATGCGGTACCCACTGGTACATACGGTTCTGTCACTTCATCAACGTCTTACCAAGAAGCAAGTAGCATGAGCAAAAGCTTTAGTGCTGACTGGGAATCGCATAAGCGATATCATCTTGAACCTCATCAGCCGATATCACATCATCAGCCAATGCGTGATACAACGTCATCTTCGATGATGAGCTCTACTGGTTCAGGAGGAGCGATGAAGAAGAAAGGAGGGATGGCGAATTATCAACCAAAGACTTCATCATCATTAAAGATGACCAATCGGGTAGAATGACTTTTTTTTTCAAACTTATAGATTTCAATTTATTCATTTATTCAAATCCTTCTTTCTCTACATCTATCTTGATAGTTTTAACATAGTTTCCTTTTGTTTGCATAAAACTTTTCTTATTTTTTTTTGTGTGTGTGAGAGAGAGAGAGAGAGAGAGGATTCGTATTTGTTTTTGTTTACCTCTTGAGTGATCTTATTTATTTAACTTTTTTGGTTTGGATCATGAAGTGTTAATTTTTTTTTTGTATAAGGTTATGATTTACATAATCATTAATAGTGTGTTTGTGTTGTTGTTTTATTGTTTAAAGAGAAGATATGGTAGAAGTCGTAATGATTAAAGTTTGTTGAAGTAATTTCAACTTTTATATGACCGATTTAAACAGGTCTTTAAATATTTTTGGAATATTTACATCTTCATTGTGTTTGGTTGTTCAAAGAACCACAAAGATAATGAACAAAAGTGATGATTGAAGAATTCCCTTTGGGTGCTATCACGATGGAGGGACTTGAAAGCTTGACATTCCCACATTTGACACTGAAGAGTGTTTTGCTGAGCATCACTCCATGATTACCCGACCCTGAATTGGATGGTGAGGTCGGGTATAACACTTGGGTGTATGCGGTGCTTATTCGGCTTTCGAGTTACCCGACTGAGGCTCTGATTCTTGACGGTATCGAAATTTTCATATGAATTTTAGAGAAAGTATCGCAGATCACATTTTTTTTTGCAAAACCAGTCGTATCTTTAATGGTGCGCTACCTTCCTGGCTTCCATCGACCAACTGGCAGTGGATTTCATACATTCGCAACCCTTCATCGTCAACCAAAGCTTCGTTCGGGACCAAGACCAGGACCATCAAGTGATGGAAGACAAAATGATTTAGGAGGATCATCAGGTGGTCAAAGAAGATTTCAAGATGCTTGGAAGAATTCTACAAATTCATTTCGTCAAACAAATCGATCATTGAAACCCCAAAAATTTAAAGAATCTAGGATTCGTGAAATCTTATGCCAAAGACTTGAAATCTTTTGTCAACTTGATCTTCGTACGATACATGGTGAAACTTTAAATGCACTTGGATTTTTTAAACCAACAGCTTCTCTTACTCGAAATTTGGATCGTAGAGGAATAGGAATATGGAGAGGAAAAATTAATAGATTATTTCAAAGATATAGGAAGTTGGTTTTACAAGCTATGGATGAAAGGATTCCTGGATCTCATTCTGATTTGTTAAATATGAGAAGAATGGTGTGAGTGTTTTTCTTTTCTTTTTTGAATTTTATCAACATAAACTGACCTATATGGTAGGTCAGATTGCGTGAAACAACAAACCGATTCACTCGATTTACCATTAATGGATCGATGGATAATTTCGAATTTTATTCCTTGGGCAACCAATGAATGTCGATCTACTCTAATTCATCAAGATTCTGATCGTGGTTTAGTAGATACAGAAGATTCCATCAATCTTGCTTTACAAGCCTTTTTATCTTCTTTATCTGCTTTGATCGATATGCGTCGTCCTCAAGACAAATATCCGGATGCACGACGATACAAACGACAGATACATTTACATGTGGGTCCGACCAATAGTGGCAAGACTCATTCTGCTTTACGTGCGCTACATGGTGCACATACTGGGGTATATGCTGGTCCACTCCGATTACTTGCCCACGAGGTCTTCACACGGATGAATAAGGGTCAGATCGCACACGATTTAGCTCCAAGGGCATGTAACTTGGTCACAGGTGAAGAACAGAGGACAGTAGAGATAGCCGCAGGATTGGTAAGCTGTACCGTTGAAATGTTATCACCGCATCAGTACTATGATGTAGTAGTGATTGATGAGATCCAAATGATTGGAGACATTTATCGTGGTGATGCTTGGACACAAGCTGTATTAGGAACTCAAGCAAAAGAACTTCATTTATGTGGTGAAGAAAGTGTGATTGAATTGATTCGAAAACTATCAATAGATTGTGGTGATGAATTTATTCTTCATGAATATCAACGTCTTACACCTTTAAAAGTATCAGAGCAAAGTTTAAAAGGTGATTTAAGTCAAATTCAAAAAGGTGATTGTGTGGTGACTTTTAGTAGGAATAATATTTATGCTATTAAAAAGTTGATTGAAGAACAAACTGATTTAAGAGTCGGAATGGCTTATGGTGGTTTACCTCCTGAAGTTAGAGAACGTGAAGCTAGAATGTTTAATCTGGGATCAGAAATCGAAGGTGAAGGTGGTTATGATGTCTTGGTTGGAAGTGATGCGATTGGAATGGGTCTTAACCTGTACGTAGATCAATTGTTACGATCTTCGGCCAATTCAAAAGCTCTGTGATACTAATCACCTTTCATTTCCTCAAGAAAAATCAAGCGTGTGATCTTCGAGGCTTTGTATAAATTTGACGGTCAAAGAGAAGTAACTCTTAGTACATCCCAAATTAAACAGATAGGCGGCCGAGCAGGAAGATTCGGCATCTTACCCACCAAAGTGAAATCAGAATCCAATCAATCTTCGGAAGGCGAGCCTATCACTCAATGCGTAGGCGAGGTTGCTACCCTCCAAGAATCTGAAATGCCTTTACTTCGAAAATGTATGGTTGCACCCTTTGAGCCTATCACTCAGGCAGTCATCAAAGCACCCTTTGAGACTGTACAAGGATTGGCTCGAATGGTACCACCAGGCGTTCGATTTTCAACCTTGCTTAACCTTCGTCGAACACTTACGGTCACATCACCGATTTTCGCTATCGGAGATGAAAACAATGCAGCTGGTATTGCGGACTTATTAGAAGATATCACGAATCTTAGTTTAGCAGAACGAGATTTATTTTGTAGTGCACCTGCCAGCTCTCGTAATCCGGTAGCTATGACAGCGCTTCGAAGTTGGGCAACTGCTCATTCAAAACGTGTAGAAGTGGATTTTGAAGCATGGTTAAGATATGAAAATGTAGAAGAATCGATTACAAGTATGAAGAAATTAGGAAACTTATCTGAAATTAAAACTGAACCTATTAATGAAAAAAAATCAAAATCAAAAGAGAAATTAGATCAACAAAGTTTATTTAGACTTGAAAGTTTACATAAATGTTTAGTATTATATCTTTGGTTAGGATTTCGATTACCTGAAACTTTTACATTTATGAAGCTTTGTACAGATTTGAAACTTAAAAGTGAAGATGCTCTTGCACTTGGTTTAAATTCACTTGGTCATCGTCATCGTCGTCACGGACAAAATTTGGTAAATGAAGTTTCTACTTTAGAAACTGAGATTAATCATGATTTGGATCCATCATCTAGTAGCAGTTCTTGTCATGTTTGATTTTTTTCATGTTCTGTTTGTTCTTTGGATTTGAAATAAATGTGAATTATACACCCAAATTCCTCTTGACCTTGCTATACAAGGTTGTTCGAATATTATCAGTTATATAACCTTGCGTGGCTCACAAGTACCCTCAAGACTCCAATAGGTTTTTACATTTTCCCCATAACAACTTCAAATTTTCACTCCCACAGTCACATACTTATTCTCACATCACCCACACAGTGGTTTCCAAATACCCTCACAAAAGCCTATCAGACTCAAATTGTAATAGACCTACTGGCAAAACGTCCCACCACCCGGTCAACAGATCAAGGTGCTTGAGAGACTAGAATGTCCCATCTTTAATGATGCATTGCTGTTGGTTAATTTAGTTTGTGACCACAAAAATTGATGGTAGAGAAAGGATTTATTGAGCAAACTCTGGTAATTTAGTAATTGTCATCAACAACTTAGATCTTATAATATTCAATAATAAATGTACTGGTCGCTATGTATTCAAGTTAAGAGAATTGAGATATCTTTCAATAAATATAAGGTATGATTTTCCAACGAACGATATTTTTGTCTATCAATTCGAAAAAAATCACATGAAGGTAAGCATTCAATCAATCAATCAACGAGTTTGAACGTAAATCGAGGTTAGGTGAAAACATACATCTGATCCAATCGGCACCATACTTTTGTGCACAAGCTTCTTCATCTCGAAGTTGACGATGAACCAATAAGATTCCAAAGTAAATCACATACTATGATACGGTGATACAAAACAGCACAAACACAAAATATAATCAGTTTAGTTAGTTTTTACAATCATATCAATGTAAAGACGCTAGCAGAATCCGTTTGGAATCTAACATACAAAATATGTGATGGGAGTTTGAAAGCCAGTTGGTAAACACCAGGCCCAAGCCATAATCCAATCGCCTAGGTAATTAGGATGTCTTGATCGACCCCACCAACCGGATGTCAAAAGCTTGGTGCCTCTCTTGGTTTCAATGAACGTGAGATCTGGTGTTCGGGCATTAAAGATATATAATGCACCCGTCAGCAATCAAGCCAAATAGTAAGCGTTATGCACTTAGGAGTGGCACATCACTCACTTTTGGGATTAGACTTCTTGAATCTGAATTCATTCTTCTCCTCATTACTAACTCGAAAGATATAATATCCAACTAATTGAACCAATATGATAGATCCCAATTCTAATAAGGTGAGATCGATGGGTGTGAAGGATAAGTAAAGTAATTGAAGAGAATAAGTGAATGGGACCCAAGTAAGATCTCCAACTGAGAGCATAAATCCAAATCCATCGGTAGTGATATCCATTTGAGTGAGGATAGTATCCTAAGACGATTCAAATGATCTATGAATGAATGAATTGATTTGAAATCGGAAGGAGGAGGATGATAGTTTGATGAGAGATAAGAAGATAATGGATTTACTTCATTAAATTCAGCATCAAAAACATACCATAACTGAAACCCAAAGGTTAACAGAATGCTATTTGATACTCTACCGAAATCGTTAAATTGTTTGATGATCCAACAAAAGTCTAGTAAAGCCCATAAGATTAATCCTGGTCTCATTTCGTTGAACGTTTTGATGTCGAATGAACCAATACGTGGATTAAGTTCACGTCCGATAAACCACTGATGTTTGATCGCCACAAATATTAGTAAAGTATTAATCGATTTGATTAAGATGTTTAGAGGATAAACGAACATCATATATAAAATTTCCACTATTTCCACCTAGGGCTAGAATTCGATCTTTTCGAAAACTACTCCAATAGCAATAAAATGCTTGTGTGACACTCATTATTAAGCTCGCAGTGATGAACTCAACGTAGTGATCGACCACATAAATAAATGGCCAAGAACCGAGTTTCCAAAGAGTTATTGCCGTCAGTGCACAGGTACACAAGAAAGTCGCAAAGGCTGGAAAGTCGCATGTGAGGATTATTCGACAAAAATTTCAAAATTCCGATAAATGGCAAAAGTACGCGACAATGTTAGTCAATGAAACCGAAGAGGATACATTGAGATTTACGAACCGTTAATTTTATAAGTCAATCTTGAACCATCTCTTAAGATTGTACCTTGAACCCTTCTACCCGGTAATAAACACCAACAAGTCATGATATAAAAATACCATCCTAAATAAACCGCACAAACTTCAAGACTGAAAAGATTGGTTTGAGACCATAGTGTTGGTAGATCGAAGATAGGATATGATAACCTGCATTCTGTTGATTTATTGCATACGATGTTCATCCAATAGGTAAAGAAAGGAACTGATAAAGAGATTCCAAAGGCCCCTATTTTACCACCAACTGCCAAAACCATAATTTTAAAGCTTGATTAACAAGCAAGTCCTTGATGATTGTATTTTGCATGTATAGAATGAAATGACTCACATTCATAGTGTAAAGTGGTGGGATTGAGAGTTTCTTTAGATTTCATGATTTGAATAAGTTGACTTGATCAGTTGAGAATGAGATTGGTTGATGAGACAAAAGAAACTGGGGCAAGAAGAAATAATGTGATGATAGCTTATAAGCATATCAATGCTTATCGCTAGTGCTTCGATGGATGGCACAGGCATGACAGATGCAGCGATAAAAAGAACACTTGAAACTGCCTTCGAACAGTTGAAGTTCATATCATTCAACATCGTCTCTTTGTCCATCCAAAGTGGAACGCTCAACTTCAAAGCCTCAGTCCGCTATGCGCTGCCTATCGGTCGTCCCAATCCCGAGGGGATAAACTAGTCTCGAATTTAAACCTGGAATCACAATATCCTCAAGGCCTTCGAACAAAACAAGTGGGAATCGGAATACATTCCAAAATGTTAAAGCGGGGGATGATACTCAGCATTCAGCTTCTTCGTGGAAGGAAAATAACGAGCTCAACGTTCAATTTTAGAATGTTTTCAACACTAAAGTCATCGTCATCATCATCATCAAATCATCCGATTAAGCTTAAACCAAATCAATTGAATCATGAAATCTTATCAAGTTTAGAAGGACAAAAATTAGCCAAAGTCTATCAAGATGAATTGCTTTATCACCCTTTAGCTTTAGATGATTTGAAGAAACGGTTTAAAGATTTTAGTTTGATTTCGTTTAGTCGATCTGGTGGTAAAGGTGGTCAAAATGTTAATAAAGGTAAATCCAACTTATCGTCATTCTTTTTTTGATTACCATACTTTAAGAGATACTGAATGATTAAATTCTCGGTTCTTTTTTCTTTTCTTTGGGTTTGTCTTTTATAGTTAATACTAAAGTTACTTTGAAGATTGAATTATCAAATCTGATACCACATATACCGAATTATTGGATCACCAATTTAACAAAATCGGTAAGTTTCTTTATCTTTCCATCTCACATATCAGAACCAATTCACTAAAGTTCTTTTCTTAATTTTGACAATTTACAAAAACATCAGCATCTCTATGCATCAACTTCCAATTCGATCATAATTCAATCAACTCTAACTCGTTCTCAATCCCAAAATTTAGAAGATTGTTGGCAAAAACTGATTGAAAATTTAAAATTAATTTCTAAAATCGGGTTAAAAGGTCAAACTTCAATTGAAACAATTCAAAGAGTTAAAAAATTACAATCGATTGAAAAGATCAAAACTTTGAAACAAAAGAATTATAGACATCAAATTAAAGTTAATCGATCTAAACCAGTTTTTTAAATTTAAATTGGATTGGTTTGACTTATATTTTACTTTATTTGTCGTTCTTTGGAAATATCATTGATTTTCTGATGATTTGGGTATTGCAATTATACTTGATTCTCATTGTATAACCCTTTTAGTGTCATCAATAATCAGCAATTCACAAATTATAGAATATCTGGACTATAGAATTTATTCCTATGTAACAATACAACCAATGTCACTATCTTACCATCGTTAGCTTTCCAACAAAATACCTTCATTTTGTTCCAATCGAGTTTTTGAAGATCACCACGTCTTTTCGTAGATCATGTCTGGTCATGCCAGAACCATATATCATTTTTTGGACTTCTGCAGACGTTTGATTATCAGAAATGTATTCGAAACAAGACTTGCCTTATTTTTTTTCTACTTTTCTTACGTATGACTTCATTGCCCACTTGAGCATATCATCTTTTTGAAAAGGTATTCCAATACAAACTGTTTTGTATCAACCCAGTACGTAACCTTTTCGAATCAACTCGTAAAAGTTTACGATCGCTTAATAATCGTCATAGTTAACCTCATGAATAATTTCTGATATCAATACCTTCACATGTGACAGTCATCCATGAGATGATGTTTATATAACGACACGTTTCAACTTTTCTTGTCTTTCAATATCATAGAGAGCTTGAATCTTTCTCGTTCAACGCCTGGTTTCGAATTCAATTCATCTTTCCAATTGTACATGCAGTATGATTTTGAATCGTTCTTGAAGGGAGATAAAGACATACGCTTCTGCTCTACTGCCCAGTGTCGATGCCTATCTCCTTGTTAATGCTTGTTTGATATACACAATATCATCCAGGGATTGCATGCAAATAACTGATTGACACATGTTATGATCTCGGAAATGCACCCCACTCTTATGCCCACAAAACGCTTGTACATGCAGCAAAAGAAAAGTACTACACCGTACGTGTGTTCAATGACGCGAAGTTCCATATCAATGCAAATTCAATAAAGACATACCCTGATCCACCCGATGGCTTCACACATGACTTCGAACGAGTATCACTGGTTGAACTCCAAATGACTGTGTATATTGGTATAGATAAGTGTAAATGCTGAGCTGCGCAAGTTCTGCGATGAGTTTGCAGTCTCGATGTTTCAGATATATTTCCTATAAGGGTCGATCCAAAGGCCACTTTTTTGGCTCTCTCGTTAAGGAGCCCAAAAGAAATCGAAAGATATCTCGCTGTTAGATTAGAACTATTTTACGTCTCTTAATCATGCATTCTTCTAGGCAGCTCGGTCTTTTGATTGCCACTGTTCTTTTGTCCTGGGGACCAATGTCAAGCGGCGCCCTCATCTCTCAAAGTCGTGAAGTACTTGCATCTTCAGAACCCGACTATAAGATCTTCTTAGTCCGTCATGGAAACACCCCAGCCAATAAAGTCGACTTGATTCAGGGTTGGTTAGATGTTGATCCTGATCTTGAGAAAGAGGATCGTGAAATAATCTATCAACTTGACGAACAAGGGAAGCAAGAAGCTGAGAACGCTGCCAACAAACTAAGCGAAGTACCTGTGGGGAAAATCTTCAGCTGCCCGTTAGGTCGAGCTTTAGAAACGGCTAAAAGAATTCAATTGGAACACCCAGGCGTTGATATTGTGCAAAATGGGGATCTCAAGGGATTGAACTTTGGAAATTGGCAAGGACAGTCAGTGGATCTGACCAGAAACAAAGAGGTCAATTGGGAAGATGGGAAGGTGCACGGCGGAGAATCAACGGCAGAGTATCAAGAACGTACTTATAAATTTTTAGAAGAACTTCTGAATGATCAAGCAGAACTCAAAGCTCCGAGAAACGTAATTGTTTCCACACATCAATGGTCAATTAAATTGATGGTTGAATATTTCATGAGCAAAGAAGCTACAAAGGCAAAGGAAGTAGATTTGAAAAAATATCAAACAGGTGGCTCTATCTCTGAAATTCAAGTTTGGTTAAATGAAAAGGGAAACAAAGCACGATATCATGTTCAAAGATTTGGTGAAGAGGCTGATAAGAAACCATTGGCCTGATGGTTCTTTTTCAAGTTAATTATTGCACGGAACAAATTCTTCAAGGTACATAGTTGATTCAACTGTGGAAGAACAGATTCTGTAGTTATTTAAAATTCATCTTCAAGATAAAATAGACCAGACCAAGCTAATCTTGTAGTTGATGGATTTCCACGTATCGCAATAGAACATATTATCCCGAGGGATGTATCCACAGGTTTAGCATAAGTTAGATATTGAATTAGAAATCAAAACAATTGATTCTTAGAGTTTTCGTAACTATCTTGACTGAGAATAGTAAGAAAGAGCATATCCTTACTTTGACCAAACGTGACATTCATGCCATCAATGAGACAATTATGAAGTGTAAGGTACGATTAAGTTAGAACCTAAAGGAGTGCATTTGACTCCCCATTCGAATCCTACATCATCATTTTAAGGCTTGTGAGAAAAAAAAAACATAAAATAGACCTCCTGATCAGTTCCATTCTGCCTTGATCATTGAGACACAAAGAAATTCCAGTAGTCCAGATTGCAAACACCAAAAGTACTGATGTAAATGATACAAAAGAAAGTCACTGTTCAGAAATTTATATGATGATCATAAACACCAAAAAATCTTGATTTTTGATTTGAAAGATGATTGGAACTCTGAATTGAAGGACAATTTGAAATGAATTCGTGATACCAATAATGGATCACAATTCATTTGGTCTGCTTCAATCTGTGGCAAAGGTTTTGGTTTGTTGATTATGTGTAAATTCAATAATCTAAAGCAAACAATTTGGAATAAGTGTTCAGAAAGGTAAGATTTATTATACTCTGATAGATAAATTTGGGTTTGAAGCTCAGAATCAGTTTCATTCAAAATGCGAATGATAAAAGTGCAATTTGAAATTACATGCACATGGTCCACAATCATTGATGGAAAGTTGAAAATATGAGTAACTAAGTTGTAAGCCAGCATTTGAGAAGTCTTTTATTGGAAGCCAGGAGGAAGGTCACCCAAGCGTCTGAAGGGGTTGATAAATCTCTTGGACTCTCTTGTTCTTGGGCATGCTATTCAAGGTCATCTCAGATGATGACTTTCAACTCTTTCATGCAAATAGTACAGGTAAGATCAGGGTCATATTTCACCTTCTCTCCTGGAACCACAAGGAGGTACACTTGAGACAAATAACATTTTTTTTCTTGGGTAGGAGAATAGATACAGTATCTTCATGAATGTTTTTTTCTTCACAAATGGTCAAGTGAAAGATTTTCAATCAAAAGTTTATACAATTAGGGTACACAAATATTGTTCTGGAAATTCCCAGACAAATTTTTCCAGAAAGCCAGAAACCTTCTGGTGTTCTGGAAACACACACAAAGTGGGGAATTGGAAGTTGCATAATGCCAGAATGCAAGATTCAGAACACACCAAAAAAACCTTCTGGGGTTTTGGAAAAAGTCATCTGGAAATTTTCAGGACAATACTTGTGTACCCTGAATGAGGCAGACAACAATAATGCTAAAGTGTTAGTGCACTCAAACCTGATCTACTATCTAGTATTCTTCATTATTATTTGGTTGAATTTTGATCCATCTTTGGTTCCCAGACAATCCATCTGGTTGGTTCCCAGACAAATGATGTACCCCTCCAGAGTGTCTACCAACACACCAGGGAAGAGGTTTGATTGTCTTCAAAAACACCATAAAACACAACATTGATATCATGAAAGCAATGGTACATAGGTCTACACGCAAGTAATGAAGCGCGGTTAAAGAGTTAAATATATATTTTCATGTTATAGAAGTGAAGCTGAGATCTCAAGCTATGAATATGCATGAACTACCTGACTACAAAGAGGTCACATTGTGATCAGAAAGGATTCCAAGCTGTAAATCATTTTGAATGTGATCCACTTATTCAATAGATAGGTTGAGGTTTTGGTTGAGAAAGGAAAAGCCATCTATGATCTAGTGCATCTTTCTTGTCCTTTTTGCGCCGCACCTACATTCTGATATCCTGCACTCTGGTGAGTCAAGCGCCTCAAGAAATAAAAGCTCAGCCTCAGGCTTCGAGGCGACCCGAGAGCTCTCCGAGGTATCTTTGGGTTGGAGCAAAACCCGTGACCCATGGGGCTGACTGTGTCGCCCAGGGCCGGGTCACAGCCCTGGTTACAAGTGACAAGAACCACAATTTGTCAGAAATGAGATTTGAATCCAAATTCTTGGAAAGAAAGTTTAACAAGAACCACCATCCATCCATCCAACAACAACGACAACAACCAACAACCAACAAGAACAACAAGATGACCAAAAACAAAAACCAAAAGAGAGCTAGGATTAGTTCAAATCAAGCCACAGTTCATCAAATCAACCAAGACTCAACTAACTCAAATCAAACTAAACCCAACACCAAAACTCAAACTAATTTACAATCTGCATTAAAAGGTACAAGAAAGAATCTCAATCAAGAATCTCAATCTACTTCTACTCCTTCAACGTCAACTTCCGTCACCAAACCAAAACCGATCATATCAAAAGTACCAACAATATCGAGTACATTTCCACCTAATTCAATCAAAATCGTATTCGGATCATATGAACATCTACTATATGGCATTCAAATCACATTTTCAACAGATACATCAATCTTACCTAACATCTTACCACTTTTTCATTTCCGAGCCCATTCAGCACCATTAACTTCAATTGCAATCTCACCTTCAGGTACTCATCTAGCTACAGCTTCAACTACCGGTCCACTTACACTTTGGTCATTACAACGACAAAGAGCTTTAGGAACCTTATCAGCCACATCGGCAAGTGATGATCATCAACCTGGTGTATCTCATACGAGTTTTGATCCCACTGGTAGATTGTTAGCTGTTTCTGATGGAGATGAGAAAGCTAGATTATCACTTTATCGTACAAGAGATTGGGTTTTACTTAAAAGATTACCTGGTCCGATTTCCTTTGTTGGATTTGAACCGATCCGTTCGACTTTAATGTTAACCGTCGGTCGTGATAGATGTTTAAGACTTTGGGATTTATCTCGTCAAGCTCAATCTAATCGTAGACCGATCGGTAGTGTTAGATTAGGTACTATTGCTGATTTGGTTCAATGGAGTCCTACTGGTGATTCTTTTGTGGTTTTGACTGGAGCGATTGCTACTGTCTATAACACTGTTAGTCTTTTTTACATTCATATTTTAAAAAAAAAACAGATTTGAACAGATCCCATTTTTTTGATGTCTTGTAGAAAATGGAACCTAAATTCACCTTCAAGTCACCTAGAGGTCGAGTCCACGATGCCAAGTTTTTAACTAATCAAACTGAAACGACCCATTTGATTTTAGCATGCGATGATGGAATTGGTAGAATTTTCAATTTAAATGATGATTTTGAACCATTATGTGTTTCTGAATTAATTGGTCATACTAATCGGTAAGGCAACAAAATTATATATATATTTTTTGACTTGACAAAAAAAAGTTATTGAGACTGATTCTTTCTTGAAAAAAATCTTCTTTTTCTCAAAATAGTATAAGAGCCATTGAATTAATCGAAATTAATTCAATTCTCTATGGAATTACAATCTCATCAGATGGGTTTTGTAACATCTATAAACTTGAACCTACTACTTGGAACTTAGATCCAATTAAAGATGAAGAACCTAAAGAAATTAAACCTTTACTTCAATATGATACCAAAGGTTCTAGATTAACTTGTTTAGCTGTTACTGGGTTTTATAATGATTCAAATTCAAAAGGAAACACGCAAAACGAAGTTGGTGATGAAGACTTTGGTATTGATCAAAGTATGGTGGATGATGATTTAGATATGGATTCTGGTTCTGGGTCTGATTCTGATTCGAATTAAAATTGAACTTCAAACCTAACAGATTGTGACTGATTTTGATGCGTAGAATCAAAGTCGATATCCTGTTCATTTTTCATATATTAATTCTGGATTAGTAATTCTTTTGGTTATTCATTTCACGTTACTTTTTGGAATTGATGAACGTTTTCTCAGTCAGAACCAAATCAATTCAATTGAAACTATTACAAAATATATCAAGTTGTAGACCAAACAACAACAAGAATTGAAACTAGAGTTACAGCAATGAGTCAAAAAAACGAGATTTGAAAAATCAAACAAATTGAGATCTAAATTGATAAGAAAAAAAGGTTATTTCAACTAGATAAAGTGTAACCTTTGGGAGGCCAATCACAAGAATTAGCACTAAGACCTAATAAATTCTTTTCAGAATCAGGTCTATAAATCCAAACTGAACCAGCTGAGATCGTACTAAGATCATAAGTTCTTCTGATTGGTAATTGTTTTAAAGATTGTTCCAAGACTGTGATTTGACCTAATTGAGATGGAGGTATGAAACGATTGGTTATATTTGATGATTTGACATCTAGAATCATAGCTGTATGATCCTAAAATTCAGAAAACAAAGAGCCATTTATTAGTTCATTTGATTGATTGGTTTTTCTTGATCGAGTTTCTAAAAAAATCAGCCATCAAGATCACTTACTGGATCGCCCAATTTACACATTAAAGTAGGATGAATCGTATTGCAAGAAACCAATTTCCATTCAATCACATCACCCGGTCTAATCTGATCAATACATTCAGGTAACCAATGACCCACCCCATTACCTAATCCATTAGCTTCACCATGATAAAGTAACCAACCATGAGTACGATTGATACTAGTGAGAGGTAAAGGTAAATGAGGAGAGAAACTTGGAATGGCTTTTAATGCTTCATTTGCTAAATCCCAACATTCTCCTCTTCCAACATGAGTCTTACGATTCTCGACTCCTTCTAGATATTGCAATAAATAATCACTATAAGTTTCAGATGCAATGGTCAATTGATTGACATCTTTAATAGAAGGTGTAGGACGATATTTCACTTTAACTTCTTGAGGTGGAAAGGGGTTTTGGGTATTAAAGATTATTGAACTCCACAGTTGAGATAAATCAGAAAATAAAATATAATTGAATTGATGTCGAATCGAACCTGTTTGTTTCCAAGATGACATACGTTTGATATCGGTTAAATTTAAGATTGGATTTGGAATTGGATCTGATAATGTATACCATTGATCTTGATTTGATGTCCATAAATGATGATTTAAGAAATAAGTAGCTAAATCTTTAGATGAGATTGTTGTGGGATATTTCGCTTCAAATTGATTTAAAGTGCTCCTGGGTTTATTATGAATCGAGATTGGTGGTGGTGGTGTTGATGATAAAGAAGGTGGTGATACAGTTTGATCAACTGAATCAGATTGAACATTGAAAAATTCATCTAATAAAGCAAAAAATGATAATTTATCTGATTCGGTAAATTTCGAAAATGGTGGATAAGGTATGCTTGATTTCTTTAAGCCAGGTTGAAGAAATGTAAGATTCGGTGGGTTCGATTCGAATTTAGTTTGATGTGCTGATGCGTTACTAGTAGGTAAAGGTGGTCTGCTATAAGACGAGAGGACAGGTTTAGCGCTAACAGGTGGTGGTGGTTCATAAGTTTGATTGAGTGAGTTATTTGATGGATTAGGAGTCAACCGACGAGGCGGTGCAGGTGGTGGTGGTCCGTAACTTTGATTGAGCGAGTTACTTGATGGATTGGGCGTTAAACGACGAGGGGGTGCAGGTGGTGGTGGTCCGTAATTTTGATTGAGGGCAGTGTTTGATGTAGTAGAAGCTAAACGACGTGGTGGTGGTGGTGGTCCGTAGTTTCGATTAAGTGAAGTGTTGGATGTAGTAGAAGTTAACCGACGAGGTGGCGCAGGAGGTGGTGGGGGTGGACCATAGTTTTGATCAAGTGAAGTGTTTGAAGGATTAGAGCTAGAAGCTACATAACGAGGTGGTGCTGTAAGTGATGGTGGTGGTCCATAATTCTGATTGATTGAAGTGTTTGATGAGGCGGGTTGATTAGAATCGTAACGACGAGGTGGTGGTGGCGGTGGTGCTGTTGATTTTGGCTGATAAGGTGGATTGCCTCCACTTGTTTGATTTGATGAGATACTATTTTGATTATTGTGTGTTGTTGTTGATGATGATGATGATTTGAAGATACCAGATTTCTCTCCTGCTTTATCTAAACTTGAATTAAAAGTTTTACGAGCTGAATTTACTTTGGAGTTGATGCTACTCAATGAGCTTGGAAGGATTGGCATTTTGAAATTGGATGGTTAATGTGATATCTTCTTAGAGTTGAATCCCTATGTAGTCTTCTTGAGATCTTGAAGGTATCGATTTCTCTTGGTATGGATGAACTTGTTTTGTATCAACGCCCGAACCAATACGAGACGGATGTCGGTATCGTATTGGTTTCGTGTCGCCAACCCGATACCAAAAACTCGGATTTCCCCATATCGGTTCAGCCAACCCGATATGGGGACTGGTGTTTTTCCATATCGGGTATCGGCCACACCATACAGGCCAATACCCGATATGATATCGCTTCATGTCGCCCTTTGTACCCCATTCCAATGAATCCTGCGTAGCCCTGCGTTGGCTCACGCAGTCTCCTGTCACATCGACACTTCCGATCACACCACGACACCACCATTCCGATAATCCGTCGACTTTAGTGGCGATCTCTTTAGACTTAGCCACTGTCACGATGCCCCTCCGATGGCTCGATAACGAGATCCTACTCACCTGTCAACCCCAATCTTATCCACAGATTCGAATCAAACGGTGGCTCAGCCTCCACTTTCAAAAGGTCAGCATTTTCGTTATACTACTCTTCCTTCCTCGCATCCCCACTATTCCCCAATTCAACACGGCTAAAGATCATTGACGTGTGTTGAGTTAAATCAGAAACACACCATGGCATCCACGCATGAGTCCGAGTCCACCCAATTACAACCATCTCAGGCTCTTTTGAACGATGATTCTGTTCCGAATCCCATTCCCAGTACCCAGAAACGCAAACGAGGACCTTCCAATACAACCGGCACCCAGAAAAAACGCAAGGATGTATGTTATCTTACTGTCCAAGTCATTTCATCAACCACTTTACTAACTTTATTGATTTGATTTATTGCTGTATAAAACCAGAAATCGAATTACGTTCCCGAAGGTCTGGATGTTGACCGAGACTCTGATATCGAGATAACCGGAGAGACTCAGCCTGCACCTAAAGCTGAGGTGCGCACTGAACGTGTCCGTGAACTTCTCAAGTACTATGAAGATCCAGTCGAATGCCCAGATGAAGTAAGTGGCACTGGCTTCTATTTGTTCCCTCCTTTAACTTTCTTTCACAAACTCATCTACATTCTCGGTATTTGGATATTTCGATTCAATCAAGATCGGCAGCGGTATTTTCCGGTATTACAAGTGCCGGTTTTGTAAAAAATCTTTTTCAAAACCCCCGAATACTTATCAGACTCTATACGACCATCGCGATGGGGCCAAAACTCAACCAGTTTGCCAGAAACAACACGTTGCCATCAAGCAAGGATTCGACCTCAATAAATCTTGGCCTGAGCAACAGAAGGCTAAAAAGGAACAAAATAACAACTTAGATCGATTTGTTGTCAAGCAACCTTTTGGAATCAAAAACCTCAATCTCATGCTGGTCATTTGGGTTCTTCGTCACGCGCTCCCGTGGGCAAGATTTGAAGACTCTATTCTTCGTGCAGCCTTTTGGTTTTCAAACCCGCTGGCAACTCTTTACTTGGCAACATGGGCAGCCCAAGCAGCCCAGCGCTTATACATAGGACTCCAAAAAAATGTCATAAGTAGCATCTTGGTACGTTTTTTTCTGGTAACGTTTAATTTCCTTTTCACTTTTAATTAATCTCATTAATCCATACCACACAGGAAAATGACAGTGCCTTCTGTCTAATGCACGATGGGTGGACAACAAAGGGACGACGGCATGCTTTTATTGGGGCCAGTGTTTCGTTTATTGATAGTAACTGGAGATACCAGGTCCGACACCTCACCCTCAAGCTTGTGACATGGAATCACTACGGGGTTCTACTGGCTCGTCCCCTGGCTCGATTCCTTGTTCGACACGGCCTACACAAGAAAATAAGTGTATTTAATTCCTTTTTCTTTGATAATCACCTCGAATATTGAGCCTGACATGAGAATGTTGTTTTATCCACATGCTTGCGCAGACAACGGATTCAGGCGCGAACAACAACACAATGGCGACAGAAATGTCAAAGATCTTCTCTGAAGGTGAGGATCCGGTGTTCTGGGATGCAAGGGTCAACCATGTGCGCTGTTACGCGCACAAGCTGGCTCTTGTGGTCAAAGCCGGTTTGCGAAGTATCAAAATTGATCCAGGACATACAAAGCCAACTACGACTCCTGGCCGTGAACTTCCTACACCCTCGCTTGGACTTGACGACTCATCCAACTTTCCTGATGACCCAAACAACACTGAACCGGTTGATTGTCTTGAAGATGGAGAAGATATTGGCGGGGATCATGATGGTGATACTGACTCTGAGGTCGAGGATGGAGATGATTCTCAATTGCAGACTCACTTGGCCAGTAGGTGGAAAACTGATGTAGTGGTACAGGCAGTCCAAAAGGTCAGTTTCTATCATGCACAACCGAGATCATAGTCACATACTGAATGATGATTTTGTTTCCAGGTGGATCTTTTTGCACGCCGGGTCTGTTCGAGTGCTGCCCTGCAAGCACTCTTCAAAGCACGAAGAGAAGGACAGGGGTCGATCACAGCGGGTTACGGAATACGTTGGAATGCGGCGGTCTAGTCTCGCCAAAAGGTTTGTGAAGCCCAAGAGGTATGTCTGGACATATCGATCATCCTATAGATCATATCATATCCCTTCTCACCATGTGTTGTTTATGTTTTCAGACAGTGACCCAGATGCTAGGAAGTGCCGATAGTCATCTTTTTGATGAGATGTGTATAACTCAGAGCGAATGGGCTGCTGTGAGGGCCTCAAATGGTGTCTTAGAGGTATGCAGCACTTGCACTTTGTTCTTCTAACCATCATTAACAGTACTGATATATTTCAAATTTGTAGATATTCCTCTCTTCGACCCTCATGATGGAAGGGGATAGTCCAACAGGAGCGCGTGTCTTGTCCGAGTATCGTCGAATGGAGAAAGCTTTAGAGAAAATGGAGGCTGAGACTAAATACAAAAGCTTACATAAGATGATCGGGGTAATGCGTGTGAAACTCGCGGTGTATCATAATGAAGCGCTCAGCTGTGACGCTCTTGTCATGGCTACAGTTTTAAATCCAAGCAAGCGTATGAAGTTCTTTGAAAACTACTATCCTGCGGAGGTACCTCGAATTCGAACGATGTTGGATCAAGCTTTTCAAAGGAAAGTGGTATCATCAGAGGCAAACATCGAGATCACTTCAGCAACAGCAACATCACAAAATACAATCGAAACTACTCACGATCAAGACGACGACAATCTCTTTGGACCTTCAGAAGTGTCTGCATCAATCAATCGATCAGACGAATTAGAGCTCTATCTTGGCACAAAATATCCTTATAAGGACGGGTGTATCTTAAAGTGGTGGGAGGTGAGTGTCTGATTTTTCTCCGTTTTACTCTCTCTTCATGTCACTTATGTCTTATGTGTGGTTGATTTGGGGCAATAGGAGAACTCAAAATGGTTCCCATTAGTGGCAGCGCTTGCGAAGGATTATCTCGCATGCTCGGGTACCACATGTCCAGTCGAAAGGACTTTTTCCTCAGCAGCCGATGTCTGCCAGCCTGATCGTGGTGGCCTCAACTCAAGCACGATGGAGCGCGCTGTAGGCTGTAGAGAGTGGATCAAAGCGGGTGTGGCTACACCAGCAGAGTTTTCAGAAGCATCTGAATTAATTGAAAAATATTTAGTAAGGCAACATAGTAATAAAACAAAATGATCTCGCTCTTTGTATTTGTAAATACAAATTATATTACAGTTTGATTATGTGAACTGCAAAAAAAATACTGTTCGCGATCCCAACCAACTTTTACCGCCATTTCGTATCGGCTCGTATCGCTTCAGCGATACGATATGAGCCTCCCCAAAAAAAATTTTTCATGTCGTATCGGGAGTCGGTTCATATATATCGGTGTCCCGATGCGACATGAAAAAGCCCTGATATATCGTATGGTATCGGATAGGTTCGGGCGTTGTTTGTATGGAAGACCTGAGGAAGTGATCGATGGATGTTGGAAGTTGTAGCGAACAGGTTCAAGCTGAGGAGGCGATGCAACATGAACAACAACAGGAGAGTGTATAAACCTACATAAACACGTAACCCATGAGCCTTTTAATTTCACACAGTCGTTGAGGTTGTGAACATGTAAATGCAATCACATGTAACATACACCTGAACAGTGAGGAAACAATCAGAAAAAATGGAAGTTGATGCCAATGGGAAGATTGGTTTATAAAATTCAGGGAGTTGATTCACACGTCCTTTGAAATACAATGCGTAAAATGTGCAGCAATATTGATTGAGTTATTCCTGTGGATTTAAGACTGCAGATGATTGATTTCAACATGTTTTGAGCTTTTTTTGAAAAGTTTCTCTTCTCTTTTTTGTGACAAGATATGAGGAGATTTTACTTTGGACTCATTGAGTTAGAAAAACAATAGAAAAATGAAACAGACATCCTTGAACACTTTACAAGACAATATCTATCCACATGCAGATCCAAAAAAACAAGCTGATTGTACAAAAAAAAGTAAGCTGCAAAGTTTATTACTGGAAACATGAATCTAAAATCTTTGCATCAATTATATATCTATTTATAAATAGTTGAGAGCTCCAAATTGAAAATACCCAAAAGAAGAGTTTAGATAACTTTTTGGGTATGAACCTTTCAATTATAATTCCAATACATTGAGCTAAAAAGAAAAATAGTAAAGAAGGAGTCTGATCAAAGAGATGATTTAATGGTTTTGAAGGATGAAGTAAAGCAAACATTGCTTTTTTCAAAGATAGATTTAGATTTAAATATTAAAATCAAAAAACATCAAAGTTAGTATAAATGTGTTTTGCAATGAAAGGAAGGATTAAGAAATTTACCATATTCATGTAAAATCCCACTTGCAAGAAAAGTACCAATCAAACCACCAATTCTAGAGATTTGAACATTAAATCCCAAGATTCGATTGAAGAACCAAAATGTGGGTTTACCACCTAGAGTCAAAACACTTCTTTTTAAAATGGTATGCCATCTATTACTCCAGAAATCCAGGAGAGAATCAGATAAGTAAGGTAAATTAAAAATCGGTGGATAATGAATTGGATTAATCAATTCTAAGAAACCATTTGATAGATCCAATCTTATTGAGAATTGATATAAAAAGTGTAATAGAATTGTAAAAGATGTGTATAAAAAATCCATTGAACTTGCTAAACAAGTCACAACACAAATTCTATGAGTCCATTCTGATATCAAATTTAGGCCCAAAAAGTTTGGTATTCCTATTGAAGTCAAAGCTGAGATTGGCGTTCTTAGGGGAGAACGATAAGTTTGAAGAATAAACAAAAAAGAGAAACCAACTGGAAAAGAAAGTATAACGAGTCTTTTGATCATTAGTTGAAGGTTTTGATGATTTGCTTTCCCTGGAGATCCCCAAGTGAATTGTAATCCTCTAAATCTATTTGCAGATATAAAAACAAATCATCAGTTGAAAAAGAAAGAGAAAATTTAAATTCAAATGCAAAGAAGATCACTCAACGAAGTCATGTTTAACAAAGTCCAAAAAAACAATTTAGAAGGATAAATGGTTTCTTCTTCTTGAGATCTTTTTAAACGTTTTAATTCATCTTGATTTTTAATTTGATTCCATTCATAAACTCCCTTAAGGTTTTCCAAAGGTCTTTTATAATAAGCTTGATTAGCAAAACCAAATTCTAATGCAAAAGAAGCAAAGATCATCGAAGTAGATCCCAATGTCATTCGAGTGAATACATCAAAACTTTCAGGTAATCTAGAAGAATTCTTGAATGGCTGAGAAATGAATAAGAAAAAGTTGATTGGTGTTAAAGTGATCCTGATGAATTTGGCTGTGTTATTTTTAACAAAAATTGGATGTAAGAGTGATGCTTGTATTGAAAGTAAGGTAAACGAAATCAACATGTGCAAAATATATCTATGATTTGATGATATTGAATGCAATGCTATCTCATCCATAGTCATCTCAGTCTGATTTGAAATATTCATGAATGTTGATTGATAATCAATCAAAGGTTTATTAATTCTTTGATTTGGCAAGGATAAAAGCTTAAATCTATAGTCAAAAGAGATGTCTATAGACTAAAGGCGAAGTGTGAGTGAAAGGGGAAGTTCAAGGCAAAGGGATTAGAAAGAATTCCTTAATGTACCAAATCAGACAGCTCTGTAATCGTAAGGGTACGTTTGGAGTATCTCCAATAATCGCTCTTACATTCGGAATTCCACTCTGTAAGAACCATCATTTGGCACTGATCATGGTGCCCAAAAACAAACTCGAGTCCAGCCAAAAGGAGATCACAAAACCTCCTTTTATATAGACGACAAAAGCGAGTTGATCCACTTGCTAAACTCCTCTTTCGACTTAGCAAAACTCAATTTCCCACTCGCCGATGTTATAACTTTGAAGAACTCTAGAAAACGAATCAACCTATTAAGCTGTGGGGCTTCCTCATCCCACCTCCCTCAATAATCCTCACTGCCACCTACATCGGCTTTTGACATCAAGATTTCAGCTTAATCATTCAATGACTATCAACTCGCTTGTAGAGATACCATCAAAGGGATGTGTCGTGACAAGGTGTTGGCAACTCCCGTCGGGCCACCAGCTCGAAAGCGTGCTCAACCAGAAGCTTGAGCAGAATATCTTTGTCGGGGTCATCACAGTAGTGCGACGAGGACGAAATGTCCCAAGCTCACAATTAAATTCAATCCCGTGTTCAACATTGGTGGTGAACCCGGGTGAATGCATGCGGTATAACGTGAAGCAAGCTGGCCAGGAGGAAGGTGGCCAGAAGTGTATGCATTGCTTATTGGATTGAAAAACAATACTAAAGTGAGATACAGGTGATTGAATACTTTGAAAACAATATGAATCCAAACTTTGATAGTAGATGCGTGTCCGACAAAAAAAACTTCAAACTAATTATACAAGAACAATTAATTTGAAAGCTTTACTACTTGAAGTTGAGCGATAAATCCAAAATCTTTGCATCAATCAAATATCTATCCACAAATACTTTAGAAGTACAAAGTACAAATGGCCAACAAAAGAGTTTTGAAAATTTCTTTGGAATAAAACTTTCTATGATGATTCCAATAGATTGAGCTACGAAAAAAAATAACAAACCAGGAAATTGATCAAAGAGATGATTTAAAGGTTTCGAAGGATAAAGTAAAGCAAAGACAACTTTTTGGAAATAGATCAAGGTCAGAGTTAAAAGTAAAAACCAAAAAAAATCAGTTTCACGTCTGTTTCATGAAGATAGGGAATCATGGATCGAAAACATGAATTTGATAAACTTACCATATTCGTGTAAAATCCCACTTGCAACAAACGTACCCACTAAACCACCAATTCTAGAAATGTTAAAATTAAATCCCAAGATTTGATTGAAGAACCAAAAAGTAGGTCTACCACCTAACACCAAGAAACTTCTTTTCAAATTTGCATGCCATCTATTACTCCAAAGATCATTTAAGGAACTTGCTAGATGAGGTGAATCAAAGAGTGGTGGATAATAAACTGGATTGATTAATTCTAATAAATCCTTTGATAAATCAAATTTGATTAAATATTGATGTAAATAATGTAATAGGATGGTTAAGACTGTGTATTGTAAATCCATTGAGCTGGACAGAAAAACTCCGAAACAAAATCTATGAGCCCATTCTGATATCAGACTTAATCCCCATAAGTTTGGTATGCCTATTGAATTTAAAGCTGAGATTGGAGTCTTTAGAGGGGAACGATGAGTTTGAATGATAACCAAACCAGCCAAAGCAAGTGGAATTGCAACTTTGATGACTCTTGAAACCATTTGTTGCACAGTTTGATTGTTTGCTTTCTTTTTATGTCCCCAATTAAACTGTAAGCCTCTAAATCTGTTCAAAAAAACCTGATTGTCAGTTGAAAAAGAAAAAGAAATGAGTGAAATCGAAAAGAAAGTCACTCAACGAAGTCGTAACTGATAAAGTCCAGAAAAATAAGTCAGAAAAATTCAAACTTTCATTTTCTTGTGATTTTTTTAAACGTTTTAATTCATCTTGATCTGTAATTTTCTTCCATTGATAAATCCCCTGAGAATTTTCTAAAGGTCTTTTATAATAAGCTTCATTAGCAAAACCAAAATCTAATGCAAAAGTTGCAAACATGATCGAGTTAGAATACCATCCCATTTGAGCAAAAGTATCATAACTTTCAGGTAATCTAGATGACCTTCTAAACGGTTGAGAGATGAATAAGAAAAAGTTTATAGGTGTTAAACCGATTCGAACGTATTTAGCTAATTTATTTTTAGCAAAACATGGATGTAAGAGTGATGCTTGAATGAAAAGTAATGATGAGGCAATCAACATATGAAATATATAACTCAGATCGGACAACATAGGATTGGATCTTATGTCTTCCGTAGTCATCCCAGTCTGATTTGAACTATTCATGAGTGTTAATCGAAACTAAATCCAAGGATGATTTCTCCTTAGATTCTTGGAAAGTCTATAGATCTTAAATCGAACGACTCGTTTGTAGGAGATGTTTAAGTGAGAGGACAACTTGAAGGCAAAGTGATCATCAAGGATCCAAGTGTATTTATATTTACTCAATCTGAAAGCTCTGCAACCATAAACTCCGACCGTCCGACCGAGTATCTTGAAAAATTGGGTCCTGAAAAAATTGATCCAAATTACACAAAACTCAACATCTCGAGTTATCTGGATGGATAACGCCCGATAAGCCAAAAGATTCCATGAATCCTTGTGAGTCCCCGAACATTTTCGTCTAGAGCATTTCGGCATGAGCATATTCCTTCCTTGGCAGCTGCACTCCACTTACTTATGTTGGACATTAAATTTTCAAATCCGAATGTTTCTATCTTGTTTTATGCTTATTCTTCAAGAAGACGAAACAAAAAAATTGGATTGTTGAGATTGGTCAAGACTCGATCCAATTAAGTGCGCCTCTAGAACGTATCTTTGGATACATATGTTGAATAATAGAAAATCGATTTTTGTACTTGAAAATGAATGGTTTCCATTTCTAAAAGAAGCGTTTTGGAGCGGTACACATGAATCTGGATATCGGTTGAAAGGGTTGAGAGACAAAGATGACAAAAAATCACAAAACTAAACAAAATGGATAAGAAAGTCTTGCAGATGAGACAATCTTTTTTGAAAAATTCAAGAATTTCCAAGAATTTGAAGATGGTATTTGGTTCAACTTCAACATAGCGATTGATGTAGATTGGACCTTGTTCCATTGATTCATTGTGTGACTTGGAAAATTTCAATTAGAATCATGCTAGTTAGATGCTTGATTAATCTGAAATCAAACTAATTTTGAGAGTTGGACCCACACTCCTTTTTACAAATCTTGCACCCACCACATGAGATGAGTGAGATGATCTTAGAAGTAAGGCTCATTGTGATAAGAGCTTTGCAAAAGTTTTTTTAGAGTGCAAGTGTCATGCTACAGGAACTCACTCACATACCTATCAAAAAACAGATATGCCCACACAGGACCCCGCAATGTAAAGGGTAGTAATCTAATAAAGTCCCTTTTTGACTTCTGTGGAGTTGAAATTTATAGGATAGTGGTACACAAACTTGAACACCCAACCTGAAAACCCATGGACAAAACCCATGACAACCTGAATGTTTTTTGGGTTTTGTTCAATGGGGAGTGGAAAACCAACAGACAAAACTCCAAAAACAATTGGGTGGTCATGGGTTTTGTCCATTGGTTTTTGAATAGAACCACCATAACACAGGTGGTTCTACAGTCCATGAAAGTCTTGCACGGGGGGCGTGACAGGGACGACGTGTGAAAGACGCACAGACAGAGTTCCAAGTGAACTCGGTCTCTCGTAAGGCGCAAGGTCTTTCTCACGCCCAATCCCAGATCACGCCGAGTCAAGAAGTGACTCTCGCAAGACTTGATACACCTCACACCACCGCAATACGGTGGTTTTTCACGCTGAATAATCTAAATCAAGACACCTTAATTACTTAATTCAATGGAACAAGCAATGCGAGAGGCCGCGGCAAAGGCAGCAAACATAACAATGACGAGGCAAAGATCGGTAGCGTTGGGCCAACCCCCAGGACCACCACTCAACCCACCGAGAAAGGCACCTAATAGGAACCAAGGTCCTCCACCACCACCACCTCCCCCCCCTCCCCCCACTCTGGCTACACCAAGAACAGTAACACCCCAAGTCGAAAATGAAAACCACCCGCCAGACGAACCGTCGACGCTAGACCAATCAACGGGGGATGTGGACGGGGCACCGCTAGAGGAAAACGAGCTAGAGCAACTTTTGGAAGACGCAGCGAGACTGCTACAAGGTCCAGAAATCGCATCAGACGATGACGACGGAAACTCTTGGAGGCCTCCAATACCTAAGGGGAAGGGAAAGGCGGTCGATCAGACGAGCCCGACGACATCGGGAGAATCATCTACAAGCAGCAACCCAAGTAAAGGTATGTTTCAGCTCACATTCACATGAATCAGTCTCCCTTTTCCCCTCAATCAATCACATCAAGACGGCCGCGACACGACCACCCTTTCCCACCCTGGAACCCGGGGAGCTGAAGGCTCATGAACCCAAGTGTGTGTGACCGCCCAAGATCCCAGAAGGGGGGCGCAGAAAGTAGGCAACCCATGATCTCCTAGAAGGAGGGGGCAGAGCCACGTCTAAGCATGAGACCTAGAAAGTGCAGATAACGATCACGGAACCTGACATACCTCATACCACTTAATCAGTTGAACCGGCGGAAGTCATTGACTGGAACGCACAAGCAGACCAACTCTACGAGGAGGGAAGATTCGCCGAAGGAGCGGCAATCCTGAGATACATGAACGAGCCCGCCAGGGAGCAACCCGAGAACGCACCAGTAGCGAGCGGCAGCGGCAGAGCCGGACAGAGACCATACAGCCTGGTAGAAGACGAACTAACCTCCAACTCCGACAGTCTGGGGAACCTGCCATTGGCAAAACGCCCACGGGTCGAAATCCAAACACCCCAAAGAGCCGGCAACACAACCTGTACTAACGCAACCAGACCGGAGACCTCAAACGACGCCCACAACCTACGCCATCGCCAATATCGGGAACCTGATCAGTACAATCGTGAAGAAACAGACTATCAAAGACCAGGACAAACCCAAGTCCAAGGCCACAACCGCCCACACCAAGATCCCGCAACTAATGAAACACAGAGAGAGGACGACGAAGCCGAACAAGTCAAGCTATTGATGGCTTCGAAGAAGGGGAGATTAGTGCTGAAAAACGGAGATGTGATAGAGAACGGACGCCTGTTGATAGCAGACGAGTCAGAAGAGATGGAAAAAGGCTTAAACCAACTCTCACCTGTGCTGACTCACTGGCTCCAGACGTTCAAATCTTACATACCCTTAACGGTCTTCAATAAAATCTTCCTGATTGACGACCAACAAGAGTGGAGTCGCCGGAAAGCCCCAACCGAGTCAAAGATTGATGACGGGAACACATCTCTCCAAGTATACGGGGGACACCCACCTCCAGAGGAGATGCTGATGCAATTCGAAGATTGGATCGACAGCATGGCATTATTCATTAAATATGTGGCTGCAGAAGGCTGGAAAACGTTAGCTGAGAGATTCGAAGGTCATCGGGAAGTAGTCATGGGAATACGTGACAACTACGGATGGATGGTGGCATTGAGGTATTGCCGAAGAATTCGCCAAGGGGTGATGCGGGAAACGATCGACAACAAGATTCGCAATTTCAGCAAACTTCAGTCAGCAATCTTCGAAGAAGCAAAAGTGGTAGCCGATTCAATGCAAGAACGGGCGTACCGTACAAATCCGTACGCAGCCGGGGGCCCTCTATCTCACCTCAACCCGTTGACAGGCCTCCCACGGGCCACGCCTTCAACTTCTTCAGCAACGAAGAAGACGACCTACGAGGCCTCGGGTGCACGATACCCCAGATCAAGCAACACGGGTAGACAACCAGAGAGAGCATGGATCCCATCACACGTCTGGCGAACAATGTCAGCAGACGAAAAGAAAGCTTCAAGCGGGAAGGACAGAGGAGGTCCAAGCTATCGAAAGGAGGAAGACTACGGTCGAGACCGGGAGTATGGAAGCTACCGAGACCGGGGGAGCTATCGTGACCGGAGAGAGAGATACGATAGAGACGATAGAGGCGGCCGGAGACGCAGCCGCTCGAGAAGTCGTAGCCCGAAAGGGGGAAAAGGGAAAAGCCGAGATAGAAAACAGTGAGCCTATGAAATGAAAACACTTCAGTTGATCTGTTTAGATTCAAGTGACAGCAGTCACTAAGAAAGTAGATTTCTTGAGAGAGAACGTGAGAAGTGAGACTTACAAAATGCCCAAATTTCAACAGGTACGCCGTAGACACGCGACTACCTGAGCAGACCCCATGGCAGCAGTGCAAACTAGAGCCGGCAGCTGAGACAAAGACCCCTGATCCATGCCTGGGTTTAACTCCAGACAGGTGGCCAACAGAGGCTCACTGCGAAATGAATCTGCCGGTATGGAAACGAGAACTGGCCAAAGCAGGCCTGCTAGCTTCACACAGACATATCTTGTCAGGTTTGAGAACTGGTTTCGATCAGGGGATACAAAACGCAACACTGTCAGACAGACCATTCTACTGCCCACCGAACCACTCATCAGCATTGGCGGCAAAGGAAAAAGTCCTCGAAAACTTCAAAATCGAACTGGCGGCAGGTAGAATGGCCGGACCGTTCACAAAAGAGGAGGCGTATAAAAGACTGGGATTCTTTCGCACGAGCCCAATCGGAGCCGTGGTAAACGGCAACGGCTCGACACGCCCAATCAACGATTTGTCGTTCCCAAGAAACAACAAGGAGATCAAGTCAGTAAACTCCGAAGTGAACAAATACAACTTCAGCACGACGTGGGACAACTTCCAAATAGTGGCGAGATTCCTTACGTCGACAAAAGAAGAAGTCCTCTTAGCCATCTTCGACTCGGCTAAGGCGTATAGACAGGTCCCAACTTCCCCGGACCAATGGCGATTCTTGATGATCCTGACCTTTGACGACTTAGTGATGTTGGACATGAGAATCACGTTCGGCGGAGTTGCCGGTTGCGGGGTATTCGGCCAAGTCGCAGACGCATGGAAAGCGGTTATGCTGTCGTCCTTCCCACTCTTGGCGGCGTTTCGTTGGGTAGACGACACCATGTTCGTCAAGTCGAAGGCGAGGACCCCAAAATTACAGTTAGCAGAGATTTCACAACTCAGTGAAGAGATGGGAGTGGTAGAAAACAAAGAGAAGCGAAGCGAATTCGCGGAGGAACAGCGTTATTTAGGCTTCATATGGAATGGATGCGAAAAAACAGTGCGCTTACCTCAAGAGAAGATCAATGCCCGAATACGAGAGATCGAAGACTTCCTACAAACAAAGAAACATCGATTCAAAGATGTGGAAGGGCTGGCGGGAAGACTCAACCACACGGCGATGGTCTTACCACAGATGTGCTGTTACGTAGTCGATATCTATAAATTCATGGCGGAATGGAAACATAAGTCAGCAACAAGGGAGACACCAGAATGCGTGCGAAATGACTTACAAATCTGGCTACAGACACTACGAGAGGTGACCCCAAGACGCTTAATCCCCAAACCGGACATCGTGAACGTGGGTTGGGTTGGCGACGCGTCGACTTCATACGGCATAGGAGTGATTATAGGAAAAAGATGGGGAAAGTTTCGCTTGAGGAGGTCTTGGGACCGGCGAGAAGAAGGAAGCAGGCGAGGGATCGCCTGGGCAGAGACGGTCGCGGCGAGGCTGGGATATCTGATGCTGAGAGACTTGCAAGAGGTGCAAGGTAGAAGGTTTCTAATGTTGACTGACAACGTGGTAACGGAAAACGCACTTCGAAACGGGAAGTCAAGAGATCGGTGGGTCAATAGGGAGTGGCAACAACTACAGAAGATGCTACTCACCGACCAGGCCTGCATCGAGGTAAGGAGGGTAATCTCCAAAGACAACGCGGCAGATCGTTTATCGAGAGGTTTCGACTCGACCAAACACGTGTCAAACGCAATACACCTACAGATACCAGAGGACTTGCGGGAGTTCGTGGTACAAGAATACTGAGTCAGCTCAGGGAGACATTCACGACAAAACAAATGAAAGACTTACCCAAGCACTTTAAGGAGGCGGAAAGCGGAACCAACACCGCAAGCGCTACGCAACGCAATGGATTTCGACCTATTTCCATTGCGTTGCGCAGTCGGCGCATTATTACGCTACGCAACCACTCCGCAATGGGGTGTTTTTTTTCTAACTCGCTGTTGCGGAGAGGTCGGGCAAATATTGCGGAAAATGCGCAATATTGCCCTATTTCTGCAATATTTGCCCTAAATAACCGTCAAAAACCGACCGCAATTGTGGTGCGGGTTTCTGAGCAAGGGGTTTTTTGAACCCGGATTGCGGAGCGCTGGCACCGCACTATATTGCGTTGCTATTGCGGCGCCCAAAAGAGCTACGCAACCGCACCGCAACTGCAACATAGTGTGGTGCTCTTGCGGTATTGGCGGAACGTCAAGGGCCGGTAAACACGCGGCGCGAGGTAGCTGGGCATCGTCCACCCTATCGGGTTATAATTCAGGCATGGCTAAATTCATCCAATTTAAAGACCGAACATCAGGAGGATTCAACCCAAGGGAAAAGATCTCAGACAACGACTTGTACGGTTTTATCGCATGGGCAAGCGAGACGGACGAAAACACACCAGATGGACCTCCAAAACGATTAAGCTCGGTGACGATAAAGAAATATCTCAACGGCATACGGGCATGGCACATCGTGCAACACCGAACACGGCCAACGGCAGATCACGAAATAATGAAGACCCTATTAGTTGCGTCAAAAAGGGTAGAAGAAGAGAAGGCTTTAGTGACAAGAAAAAACCCAATCACGGTGATGCAGCTGTTCGACTTACTACAGAACACGTACAACGGCTCAGAGACTCAACAACTAATTGGGACAGTAGCACTCGTAGCCTTCTGGGGCATGGCCCGCTTGGGAGAACTGCTAAGGCCATCGGTGGAAAGAGGCGCACTACTCCGTAAACACGTCGAGTTCGGAACGAAGAGGGGAACAAATTATGCGAAGTTATTCCTACGAAAGGCCAAGACCGCAAAGCCCGGAGAAATCCAGGTAATTCACCTACAACAACAACACAACGTGTTAGACCCGGTCGTAGCACTGAGACGATGGCTGGAAAGAGAACCCACCTTGGATCCAGATAGCATCTTGTTCGCAACAAGAGAGAAAGACCAGTGTAGGCCCTTAACGAAGACTCGATTCCTAAACGGGGCAACGAAGGTTTGGGGAAAGAGTAGTGTAAACACATGGAGTGGGCACTCCTTCCGTGTAGGAGGTGCCTCGCTACGATTCAATCTGAACACACCAATGGAACGAATAGCCAAACAAGGCAGATGGACGTCGATAACTTACTTGAGATACCTGAAGGAATACACTCCGGAGGTGCTAGAGGAGTCAGAGAAACTGTTAGAAGCGCTGCATGACGGCGAGTGGGCAAAGAAGATGGATAAAGAGTAGCGAGTGGAAGGTAGACAAGATGAAATAAACAGAAATCGAGCGAGAAGTGAAACCGAGACAAGCCAACGTGAGAGCGAGATGAGAGACCGACGTGGTGAGAATGAAACAAGTGAGATTGAGACATTGAGTAAGTGGCGTGCATTCAAAGATCGACGCATGACTGTGAGTTTAAGGTTTAGAAGAGTCAGGAAGGAAAGTCAACTAACGGAAGACCCAGGCGCGAGGTGAGCGTGACGGGCGTGTGCTTGAGGCTCAGGACGCTCATCTAGCACCTGAGTACGGGCGACAAGACACACGCACTAGCACGACAGCCCAGGCGCGCAAACAGGGGGGGGGGCCAGGATGGAGGGTCCCCGCCGGGCCAAATCGGTTTACGAAAACCAACTTGGTTCTTGGAAACCAAGCCCGGGCCGGGGGCCCTGCACTACCCCAACCCGCGCGGTACTGACGTAAAGTAAGAACCACGCAATTGGGCAGGACTCAGATACACCATGCGTAGCATGGTAGTGTAAGCTGAAGAAGCTGAGAAGCTCGTTAGACAGAGACCAGGCTCTGACGAGCAAGAGATGAATGGATGAATAGAACCACCATAACACTGGTGGTTCTACAGTCCATGAAAGTCTTGCACGGGGGGCGTGACAGGGACGACGTGTGAAAGACGCACAGACAGAGTTCCAAGTGAACTCGGTCTCTCGTAAGGCGCAAGGTCTTTCTCACGCCCAATCCCAGATCACGCCAAGTCAAGAAGTGACTCTCGCAAGACTTGATACACCTCACACCACCGCAATACGGTGGTTTTTCACGCTGAACCGTCCCACCCACCCAGCGTGAAGAGTCCCACCCTCCGACCCTATGGAGGGTCCCCGCCGGGCCAAATCGGTTTACGAAAACCAACTTGGTTCTTGGAAACCAAGCCCGGGCCGGGGGCCCTGCACTACCCCAACCCGCGCGGTACTGACGTAAAGTAAGAACCGCGCAATTGGGCAGGACTCAGATACACCATGCGTAGCATGGTAGTGTAAGCTGAAGAAGCTGAGAAGCTTGTTAGACAGAGACCAGGCTCTAACGAGCAAGAGATGAATGGACAGGTTGGGTGTTCAAGCTTGTTTGAGCTGGCCAGTACAGCTCAAAAACAAGTGGACTTAGTTGAGTTTAGTGTCTTGCTTTGATTCTGCCCATTTCTGCCCACTGGTTTTTGTGAACCATGCCAGCCTTTGACAGTGTCAAGAAAGTCCAATGAAAACTTAATACCCTCTTAGAGGTATGGGTTAAGGCAGGAACAGAATTAGCCATTTGGCAGGGGTGGGGATCTGTGGAAGTCCAAAAGAGACTTTTTTAGATCAATACCCTTGACAGTCAACTCCCTCTAAGTTGATATCCCTGTAAGTGCATAATTCTCTAAGTGCATATGATATTTTGCCGCCAAAACAAGGTTTTGCCAACCAAAATAAGGTCTATAAGTGCATATTCCTGTAAGTGCATGGAAAACCCACACACCAAACTGTATGTAATTAGAGGGAGTGGACTGTATAGGGGCATTCTGGGGTCCTGCCCACACCCAGTTGTACCAAGTGACTCCAAAAACCCATAGCTTTTAAGCTGTGATACTACCTTGCATTAGGGGGGCTCAAGTCAAAATATTTTACTACTTTTATTGTAAAA